GTCAGCCAATATCCTGGTCTCTTGCTATAGCAACAGACGCTGACCGGATAGGGGGAACAGGTTTGCGATAGCTAGAAAAGGCCATTATTGACTAGCTATAATGGTGAATCTCGGCTGCAAACAAGCAACAGGCATGCTTTGTCTGACTGTTAGTCACAATAGCTAATAACATTTGCTGTGTTCTTAAAATAACTACGTACAATTAGCCTGTGAGGGCAAGTTGACATACACACTCAGTATTGAGCCTGAATCTTGTTTAGGAATAAAATGAAATGACCAACAACCCTTCTGATTGCATATTGATCTCTACAAAACTCTCATGAAACATTACGACTACAGTCACACCTTATGACTTTTTCTGGTAACTGTTCTCTGCCCACGTTAAAATAGACACAACCATGGCTTTTATCACTGCAATAGCTTCTCAAATTGAGGATTTAACAGATAGTGACTTGAAGAGAACGCTTGATGGAGGTCCAAATGAATTACTGACACAAGATCTGCCCGCATTTCATTTATGGATTTGTCCCATTTAAGTGTAATAAAGTTGAAATCAGTAAGCATGAGGAGATGAGATATGACATGATAAATGGACATGATCGATTTGTGTTTCGAAAGCCAGACCAGAGGCCTCAGCAATATTGAAATGCACGACGACTGTAGATTACCATGGATAACAATCAATTGATTTGTCTGCTTGGAAAAGGCATCTTTCTTTGACAAACGCACACACTCACATCTCCCAAGTCTAGCCTTAGCAGGGAGAAGTTCAATAATCATTCTCTTTCCAATTACTGTTCATTATCCAATGACATTTATGTGGGCTGCTTGTTTGCTTATTTTCTGAATCCGAACAGTGACATCTGCTGGGCATTGAGAGGATTGATTTTATTTATGCCACAGGACAGCATGGAGGGACAATCTTTGGCATAGCCCATCAGATATGCTTGCGGATTTCTATCTAATTCATCCATGACAGTTATACATTTTCCTTTATGTCTTTACCATATGGATAGCATGCATCTGGTGAACGGAGAGGGGGGGAAGTAACACAGTCGGTTGCTGCATCAAAGCATTTTTGTGTACAGTAGTTGTCCTCTTAAGATATACTATATGCTACATTTGTGCTTCTTGAAATATGTTATGGAGAACAAGCAAATGTCCTTAAGACTTAAAAAAAGAACGGACGCATGTAGCAGCTGCAGGTGTGTCAGCTCCTGGTGCTAAGAGGGGACAGGTGACTGGTTTGATTACTGATGTGAGGCACCAACTGACAAGAACAACACTGTGTGACCTATGCTAAATGCTAAATGCTTTTCATGATGAGTCCTTCAATCTGCGTCCAGTGAGGAATGTCTACTCTCAGAGGGGTCTTTCTGATTGATTGATTGATTGAAAAGTTTATTAACAGCTTGTATATTGGGTACAGTACAGCTCAAAACATACAATTGTTAAGGGGATGCAGACCAGAGAAAGACTTTCGTCTTGTTTACATCAGGGTCCCCCATTTCCAATTCATCATGTCATTTAAGACATATAAGACATATTTGACATACAGATGGCTTATTTACAATTTACATACAGGTGGTTTTTTACATACAGATTGCTTGTTTACAATTTTCATTTTAGATTTCGTTCTAATACATCCTAACCGGACATTTAAGACATACCAAGTCTACAGATATACAGTTAGTAACAGAGTCTAAAATGCGAGTATATACATAGATGGGGGGGGGAAGCTGTCCATTGAACGACAGGTTGAGATTTGTACCATTACCGGGCCAGTTTTGCAATGCTCTCCCCCGAAGGTGCTCTTTAAGAGAGGTTTTGAAGGTAAGTATAGTTTTACTTTCCTTTACAGTTGTGGGAAGAGCGTTCCACCTTGATGTGGCATAATTGCGAAACGTGTATTCCCCCTTTTTTGTGCCAAATCTGGGTTTCACATGATTTGTGGAGCTCCCTCTGGTGTTATGATCATGGTATTCCTTGACCTTTGGGAAGAATGTTGACATGTACATGGGTACCATAGAGGTGTAGTGGATCTTGTAGACCAGGCCCATTGCAAGTAGCTGTACTCTGTCGTCTACTCTAAGCCATCCTAGGTTGTCAAAGTGGGCAGAGGTGAGGTGGGTTCTAGATGAAAGGTCAAGCAGTAGTCTGACCAGTTTATTTTGCGATGTTTGAAGTTTTATTTTTAGCGCCTTGGAGGTGCTATGGTACCATGACGTGCAAGCATAGTCATAGTACCCTTGAATGAGTGCTCCTGCCAGAGTCTTCAGGGTGTTCTTGTTTACCAGAGAGGAGATCCGGTATAGGAATCTAGTTCTTTGATTGACTTTTTTATTACATTGGATGCCATTTTGTCTACTTGTTGAGACTCTGATTCTCTGTTACAGTGGGGACTGCAGACTCAGAGGCAGCTGTGGGACACGGAGGCCAATCAGACCGGCTCAATGGGACAACCTTCAGACCGGTGAGTACAGTAACTCATTGTACTCATTGAACAGATGTGTGTTAGCAGCTGCTGTGTGTTTGTGTGGACTCAGCTGAGTGTGAAGTTGCTTGATGCTGTGTGACTGTGGCTACATTGTTGTTGTCTGCTTTGTCGATGTTTAATTCTGCTGCAGTCTCATTTTTTATTCATGTTCAATAATACTGCTTGCCCTGTGGTGTTCGTGGCTTGTTGTATTTATTGCTGATCATTTTATCTTTTGTAATTAATTATTGTTGATTCTAGAGGACCCTTATTGTATTTGTCTGAATGAGAGTCAGTTGTATGATGTCTGCAAATGTCTATAGAGGGACTTTGTTGTTGGGTTACTTTTGTCAACAGATGAGAGTGCTAGCAACTATTTGCATTTGTGTGTGGCTTAATTAGTTTCTCTTTTTGCATATGTGTTTTCTATTATGCACGATCTCTGCCTGCTGATGTTTTATTCTGCTGTTGACTATACAAGTGTCATATTTAATGAATGTGGCTTGGCAATGCTTGTAGCACCCGCTGTGGCTCTTTTATTTATCTCTGTCAGGTGTTTTTGTTTATCACATGTATGCACAGGTTGCAAACATATAATTGGTTGTTAGTTTGTGGTGGGATGCTATTCCTCATATTGACCTTCAATGCTATTTACTTTTCACCCTAAACATTGATATAATGTATTCAGAAAACATTTTAACTGATATCGTAGCACTCTTTCCATTCTTGATAATGAAGGAATTCTGTGTGCTCAAAACTGTTTGGTTTTGGAGCACTTTTGTATCCAAACAGAGCAGTTAGTCTGAGGATCCAAAATATCTGACAAAGCTTTGTTTTATCGTTGTCTTCCCGGTGCTTTTATAACAAAAATCTGTCCCATTTACCAGATCTAATCCTGGGGGAGTTTCTATTATAGCTTCTCTGCTTATGCAGCTATTATCTTTTTGCTGGAGATTTGTCCACAGTAGCTTCAAATACATCGAGTTTGTTTACCACATATACTGTAAATCAAGGCCAGGAGGGCCCATACAATGCATGCAGAGCTCCTCTGTGAGCAGAGACACTGTGTCTTTTGAAGTCTCTCTCCATGCTGTGGCTCGGCTGTTAAAATCCTCTGGGGACGGCAGAGCTTCCAGGCTGCCCTTACAAGTGCAGTAGCAGTGGGAGCAGCACAAATGGCGGTGTACAAAAGTGGGCCAGTGTTTGCCTAAAGGAGAGTGGAAGGTCAGTGGTTCAAATTCCAAGATCCAATGGGGAAAACTGAATGACTAACAGTTTCTGCTTCTTGCTTAAGAAGGTGCCCTTGAGGCCAAAAAAAAAAGGCCTGAGCTCTTTAAGCTGCTAGACCGTCACAGCTCTCAAGTGTGAATATAGTGTTGCTATGTCATTGTATTTGAACCAGGTGGTGCAGAGAAAACAACACACAAGCTCAGCAATCCTTCCCCTGGCAAAGGTTTGGCTTTATATAATAGTTCTCAACCTTTGCATTACATTTTGGCCGAACAGCAAAATCCCAAGGGACATTGAGTTACTGTATCGATTTGTTTAAATGTCATGCAAAGTTTTGCATTTGAACACGAAAGGGTCAGCAAGCACATTTAACTGTAGCTCCAATTGGATCCAGTTGGTGGAAAAGGTTAGAATTTAGAGCCAGAGCAATTGTATTTTTGCATTTAAAAGGATGGGTTGTTTCACAATCTGAAGGCATACCTCTTTTTAGGCAAGGAATTCGTTATCTCATGTCAAGGGAACAACGTGTCACTTAAGAACAGATCTGTGGCATATTGTATAAAGTAGTTTCAGAGGCAAGTCTTCAGAAGATAATTGCTCTCTATGGACCAAACATCAAGACATGACACAATTCGTGCTGGGCTTGGTATAGTTAGAGAAGTGCAGATGGCCTAATATTGTGACTCTTGATTTATACAATACAGCATCATCGGGGGGTAGCCAAGAAAAGTGCCAATATTACTTTGTGTACTGCACCTCATTGAGTGACTACTTTCTTCTCCACTAATGACAGGTATCAAAGCTTTGAAACAAACAGTCCAGTCTTGTATGAACACTGAATTACTAACGCCTCCATCATTAGGGGAAGGTGACCTGACATTTGTTCTTGGGTCTTTTTATATGTTTACCTCAGTAGAGTAGTTCACTTGATAAACTGAACCTCGTCTTCTCTAGTGAACTGCACACGCTGAGGTGTGACATTAGCATTTGTCCGCATGATTCATCACGTGGAAGTACAGATGCTCTTGAGTGATTCAATGCCTCTCTTCTTTTTGTATGGTAATACAAAGCATAACTACATCAACTCCTGTAAAGTGATGGTTAGAGCCCACTTTGCGAGATGAATCTACGAAATCTAGTCCATTGTTAAACATCTGAGAGTGGTTTTGTGAATGGAGCGAAGTTTCTATGTGGGATGTGAGAATTGCTTCCTTTGTCCCCCAGAAAGAAAACAAACACGTGTGCTGGAATTTAACCCCGCCCTGCTTTATGAGACTGACTCCTGACATTTTCACACCGTAAACAATTGCACACTTTAATGTGAAAAGGAACAACGTTTACTTTTGACCTTCTCATAGACTTATCTCAGACGACAGTGATGCAAGCTCTCATATCCTGATTTCTATCAAGATGTCCACAGAGACGGAACAATACAACACCGTGGTCATACAGTTAAAAATTGAAACGTTAAATTAAGCACTACATATTCGTATCGGATACAATAAAATCATACAATTCAATTAATTTCCCGAGGAAACACAGATTTAAAGAATACTCTTCTTACTTTTTATGTGTACCAGGTATTGAAACAAAGCAACATTTAGAAATACAACCAAAGCTTTGTATTAACACTGAGGAGTGCCTTTTGTTGCCACAGTTCAACATAATTATATATATAACACTTTTGAATCATAGCACGTCGTATTAACAATATCCCCTTTTGTTATAGGGGTCTAACAATGTAGCTATATCATGTATGTCCCTTTTTGAAGTAGCCAGCCAATGAGTGACCCTACTGACATCATTGATGTGCGACAGGTCTGAGAACAGCCGCCTGTGGCTCTGTCAACAAAGTGAGGTATAATTCAACCTTTTTAAAGAATAATCTGCATGTAGATTTAATCGTAAAACCTCAGTGTAAACATGACATGTAAAATGTAGTATTTAGATAATGGGAAGACACTATTAAAAAAACTAAAAAATGAATGACGCTGGCACACTCATGTCCTATTAAACGGGAATATGCTTGTTTGATAGAAAAGTGAGAAAGACCCAATGTGCATTTTACCCCTCAGCTCAACTTGCAGAGCCTAATGACTGGAATTGTCTGGCTGCCAAAAAAAGAAAATGAACACAATTAATCAAACAGAACACAACACTGTCCAAATGTAATGCATGTTAATTGCACCAAAATGAATAAAGTAGGAACAATGTGCAAAAACAAGGTCTACGTGTACAGTAAGGGAATCGTCCATTTAATATTAGCATACTTCTATTTCGTCTTCTGTCATTTTAAAAAATATGTTTTTAACTTATGTAAAACTTATGTAAAGACATCTTACAGTAATGGCTACTTTGGTTCCTTTATAATAAACAAGGAGAAGATAAGGGGAGATTTGCGACACATTTACAAAAATATACATCTGTCCCTTTGCTCTTTCTGCCGCCATGATTGATTAAAGTTAGGGGTGTGTGTGTGTGTGTGTGTGTGTGTGTGTGTGTGTGTGTGTGTGTGTGTGTGTGTGTGTGGTGTGTGTGTGTGTGTGTGTGTGTGTGTGTGTGTGTGTGTGTGTGTGTGTGTGTGTGTGTGTGTGTGTGTGTGTGTGTGTGTGTGTGTGTGTGTGTGTGTGTGTGTGTGTGTGTGTGTGTGTGTGTGTGTGTGTGTGTGTGTGTGTGTGTGTTCTTTCTGGAGTTTTCAAAGTGCTATATCTGATAAGGTGATGTTAAAAAGGAAATGAGGAATTGATTTGTGGCTTGTATCCTAGTTGCCATGGTACAAATGCACCCATCGTGGCCCAAAGTGCCTGAGAGTAAGAATTTCTGGCTCAGCTCCGTCTTTTTCCTGGTCCTCCTGGATCGACTGCTGCTCCCTATAATCCGTCTTGAGTCAAACAATACATGAACTAGAGCTATATTTGCTATAAGAAATCAACTGAAAATCACATGAGAAGCTTGATAAGACATCACTCCAGACATCTCTTCCTCACATACTAAAGCTGCACTAGGTCATTTTGCACAACTGGTCTTGTGATTTTAAATGTTTTTTTTATTACCTCTAGGTGCAAACATGTAATATAACTAGAGCAAATCTGATTTGAAAACATGGGATACTCTTCTGTTCTCTATCCAAAGATGATCATCTCCACAAGTCCTACCCAATGCAGCTTTAACAAAATAACGTCCAGTTCATTCGTATATTCTCGCCAGTCCGTAGATTTCAGTTGTCGAGCTCCAGCCCCTCGAGGGTGGTCCGGGATGGGTAGGCCAGACAGAATCGTCAGACACTTATTCCACACGTTGAACACGGGGCACACGGGCTGCACGAAGGACACGTGGAATGTGTGCAGGTGCTGGGAGCCCACGGCGTCGTAGAAGCTCACGGAGCCGACGTCGTAGTCCAACAGGATCCCGACGCGCCGCAGGTGGGGCGAGGGCTCGATGGCCAGCTCCTTGCTGTTGTGGCGAACCACCCAGGAGTTGTTGCAGCGGCAGAGCACCCAGGAGGCCGAGTTCTTGCCAATCCACTCGTGCTTTGGAGCTGATTTGTAGGCAATACCCACAGCGTACCTGAGAGGGAAGGGAATATTCTGTGAAGCTTTACTCAAACAACCCCACAAACTCTCAATAGAAAGGTTTGGATCTGTTAAACTCACCATGTGCTCCCTCCGATCAAAGCCTCCCAGTAGTGGCGGCCGCTGTCGATGTAGACGTTCCCCACCACGCCGTAGCTGTTCTGGCTGGTGAAGCGCTCCTGACTGTGGCCCTTCTTGGACGTGGTTTCGTCGCGCTCCACCGTCAGGTTGTCGTGGGACACCTTCAGCTTCTTGTGGGCCGATTTGGGGTCCAGCTTGAAGGGCTGGCCTTGTGGAGGAGAAAGTGATTGGAAACATTAGAAACATGCTTTACACAGAACAGCTCATTTATGTTCCCATATCCATAATATATTAAACAAAACACTTGTAGTTTATATTATAGTAAAGGTTGACCCGATATGGAGTGCTCTTGTGCTTACTGTTGGTCTTCAGAGTCCCTGGCTCGCTGCTCCTGCTTCCTGCTTGGTTAATGGCCTTGACAACGAAGATATACTTGGTGCCGCTCTGCAGACCGTGCACCGTGTAGTGGTTCTGCTTGATGTTGGGAACAATCATCCAGCTCTCCAAAGAGTTACACAGACCTGGGGAGAGAGGAGAGAGGAGGGTGAGATACGGAGAAAGAGGCACACATGACAGGGAGGGGAGACTCTGTGTAGTCAGTTCATTCGCTAAGAAATCGTATTTTTTACCCTAAGATAATTTATTTACTTCAAAATGCCTCTGATGTACTGAACAGTACAGTGGCGTGAGAGCATGGTGTACTCAATGAGCCTGTGGCAGTGGTGAGAGGGTGTGAAAAGGCACAAGAGGAAACCTTTCACACCTCGTTGGCTTCATGGCTGCACTGTGCTCACTCAGGTTTATGTGGGTCATTTAGCATGTGTTTCATTGAACTGCACGTCATAATACAACATCCTAATGATTGCATGTATGTATGCTTGTTCATGTCATGGCTTTGTTCCCCCGAGGAAGGCAATCTGTTTGTTGGCGACACAGAAATTAATAATCTTTCACAACCAGCAGCCTCAGTTTTCCTTTCTTACAATGCTACTCAAGAACTGTCAAGAAATATACAAGGATGCCTTTTGTTGCCTACTCTTCTTATCTTAAGCAGTATCTTAAGATATTTTGGCAAATATGTTTTTGTGGAGTAGAATATCAGCCTGAAAATAACAGATTGTATATCATGATTTAAAGATGCATGTTTCCTTTCTGGTTCCTAGTCGAATCATTTGTGATAAAGGCATGCATTTAAAGCAACTACTGCTGCTATTCCTACTGGTATACTCTGAAAGACCTAAATGAAATACATAGTGATAGACTCACTCTTTCTTATCACATTAAGACACCTTTCCCACAGGAACTCTAATTAAGATAACTGTGCTTAACAATTACACTTAAGCATGTTGTTTCTGTGTTTTTATTAAGTCAACCTTTTTCCCTTCTCATTAAGTGATTCATCTGAGGGGGGATTTTCTGGCGTGTGACTCGGATGCCAACACTCTGACATTATGGGATGTGAAAACATGAGGTGAGAGAAATCACAGCGTCCCGGTGAACAGAAAGAGACAGGGATGTGAACGTGAGAGAGGCAAGAAAGGGAAATGTCACATTAGCTTAATAGCTGTCTGTTCCAAACATCCTTTAAACTAGGTAAAGTAATGACAAGAAGATGCAAAGATGTTAGCATAGTTTCCAACTGTGCTATTTAAACATTGAGCATGGATTGACGTAAGATCTTATCTACACCCATTTGAATTATCTGCTGCACCATTGTCGAACCACATCCTCCTTTCATCTGTCACTGGCTACAATCCATTGATGTGTGACAACATCAGAGGGTGATAGTGGCATAGAGGCTGCAGGCTTCACTTCAGGAGGTTCCACTTCCACCGCTACCTCGGCTTTTAGTGAAGCACTTCAACTCAGCTGCCTTAGGGGAGCTCGTGGCCACAAGTAGAGCGGCATGATTGTACTTCCAGACCTCAGATCTGTAAAAAGTCTTTAAATGGTAAAAGAAAAGTCTGAAGAGCATATTTTTATAAATATTCAAATGCAAGGTGTGGGACAACGGCCAGTCCACTAGATACATGTTGTTTTAAAGGGGCCCAATTGTGCTCTTTGGGGTTCTCCCTTCCCTGGCGTGTGTTATATAGGTTTGTGTGCATGTCAATGGTCTGCAAAGGCTAAAATCGAACCGGTTGAGCAATCACTACAGAGCCGGCCAGCTAACAAATCAGAGCAGACTGGAATCTGGTTTCAGACAGAGGGTGAAAATAGGTGCTGCAGCTTTTTGAACATTAAAGCATGGAGACATGTCACAGTAGAGGTACTTACTGGCAATGTTAGACTGTCCAGTAAAGATAGCATACTGCAGCTCATAAGATACCACCGTGAACTCATCATCAGACGTCCAGTGGACAGAGATGGTGTCGTAGGACGCCGTGCACAACTCTTCCCGTATGCACGGAGCATTCGGAGCTGTAGAGAGTGAGAAAAAGGAGAGTCATCGAACAAGATCTAATGCTTATCATTTCTATTGAACATAGTTGCAAATTCTAATATTGCAAAATGATCACATAGAGTAGCCCCAATTAACCTCGTACGTTTTCATTTATGAGTGCAAAAGCTTCATTACACAGCGGACTGAAGATGTTCTTTCCACTAGAGTGGTAGGTTGAGCAATTAAAGCGTTGCAGAAGAGAAATAATCAAATATTCACTTAAACGTCTCACATCAAGGCAGCGGTGAGAGTACAAATCATAACCCTTGTTGTTACATAAGCTTTCTTACACTCATGTGTCCGCTATGCATATGTTCTAGTTGTTTTGTGGGAAAAATAAAACTTTTGTATTCACAAAACCTCTACCAGAGAGAGTGGACTGAAGTAAGCTACAAAGGCAAGCCTGAATTCATTGTAAAGCCACTTCCTATCTCTTTCTGTGTCTGTCACTCTCCCCCTCTCCCGACCCCTCTGCCATGAGTGGCTGCACATAGTGGAGTGATTCACTTAGTGAAAAGGCCCTCCAGCGAAGCCCTCATGCGTCGCAGAGAATAAATATGAGCCAGCCATTTTCACAGTCCTTCAAATCCACTACACACAATGCCTTGTATTTGTCCCCGGCACGCTCATAATTCACGCTGTGACATTTTGATGGGTCCTCGCAAATGGGACGTCGGAAATGAATGTTGAAAATTATTTTTTTTAGTTAATGCTCCTTCAAACACAGTGCTTGAAGACGTGTGTTTTTTAAAAAGCCGGAGTAGAAGTTTGATTAAAGGCTTGTTTGGTTTTATGGTCAACGAGGAATGGAATAAAGGGCCAGACTATAGATCAGACAAAAAGTATTACTTGCTTTGGATTCATTTTTGCCGATAATAAAGAAAGCCTTTACGATGTTTGAGAATTAAAATGCCCATTCACTTTGACTTCTATGAATTAAAAACAATCAAGAAATAACTTTGATTCAAACACAAAGGTTTACCAGTAAGGTAATCCAGATTTTCCAGCAGCTTCTTCTCTCTGGTGAAGTCCAGGGCGACCGTGTCGAAGGTGTCCGTTAGGTTTATCTCTGGGATCAGCACTTGAGTTGATGCTGATGCCATGGAAACCCTAGATCATAGAAACAAGGACGTTTAGCGTGCTTATCTAACTCCTCAAAAGTTTAATTAAATCAGTCTCTGTTTCTGAAAGAATACTGTTGCTTGAAGGACTCCAGCATAATTATTTGTTTGTATTTCAGTCACTCCTGAGGATGCACATAATGGACACCAAGTGTTGTTCTCAGCTGCCAAATTAATTAGTCAGAAAGCTTGAGGAGGGGGTGGAATAAGATTATGTTAAATTAAAGATGGCTTCCCAACTTTAAAGTGTTGGCTCGTGGGGAATTCAAGCACAAAAAGTACTTAAATTGTTTCTGAAAGTGCACTCTTTGCCCTATCCTTAAAGCTTTAAGTTTGCAGAATAATATCACTGTGTGTGGGCTCTCTGACCTCTCGTTGATGCACTTGGCGGTCTGCAGGAAGCGAGCGTGATCCGTTTCTTTCAGCGTCTGATCGGCCTGCGTGATGAGGGCCGAGGACCTCTCGATGCACTGCTTGCAGTTGGAGATCTGTTGGGCGAGCTTCCGAATCCTTTGTGTCTGGAGAGACAGGGATCAAAATAATCAAACCAAGAACGCATGAAAACCAGGGTGGGGTTGATTAACGATGAGAACGTAATCAGAGCAGATGACAGGAAATGACCCCAGAGAATAAGGTTGTATTGCTACAAGACGATGGATGTTAACATTTCCAAGTCACACACAAAAGGTTGCATGATGCACACTTGTAGTACTTCATGTTTTCTTAATGCTATGAACATTAAAGGTGGTGATTTATAGCAAAGGGCATGAAGGCGTCTATAGTGTATAGAGGCTCATATGTTCTGGCCCTCCTTCTTGTTTTCTGTTTTCTGAGGTTTTGTATAAAAGGTTTCTTTTCAGTCTACATGAAACAGACACTTCAAGGTTACCTCTTTCTCTCGATGTTATGGAGAAAGTAAGAGGAGCTATGGTTGTGATTGCACGTCTAAGCTTCATGAGATTGAATAGGAAACAGTAACGAGTGGGTTGAGCTTCTCCCATGTCCGTGCTGATACCTGGTTGTCATGGCGTTACGATGATTCTATTGCACGCAAATCTGGGAATTCATTTTTCCCCTCGTTTGCCCCCCAGTTTCATTCCTTTCTCCCTACAGTATGAGCGGAGATGTAAAGAGACATATTGAGGTCAGTGACTGGGTTGAGGTCAAAGGACTTTTGATCAGCAGTTTGGCTGCTAGAGAACCCAAAGCACTGTCATTTCAATCCAAATGTTGTTCTGTTGGACTAAAAATAAATACCTCTTTATCCAAGTTTTTTTCTCTGAAGTGATACAAAAAGTAAAGTGCAAATGACACAAGGGAAATCAATCGCTCGTGGGTCTCGTGTCTTATTAGATGCAGAGAAAAAGATCCGGCTTTGTAATACACGTGCTGTCTCATAGAGTATGCTCTAGTTTTGGCCGGTCTGAGAGTTTCTCCCTTCTGTTCGAACGGAAGGGGTTTGAATTTGAGGCAGCTGAACAGTTTGCCGTCTGCTCACCATAGAAGGTCAAGTGGCTGTAACAAAGTATTGCAATAGACGGATAAATGGGTTCTGATGGTGACTTGGAGTGCTTTCAACGCGCATGGGATGCAATAGTGAGGAACAAAGAGGATGACATTAGCAGTCTGTTGCAATCCAACCTTTACTGTGAATGCCACACTCTGATTTGAAGCACATTTGGATATTTCATTGTATCCAAGCAGGAATATCAAATCGTCCCATTGATGATAATTGAATGTGAGGAAATGGTGAAATGAATTAATGTTGTTTGTAGTGGGACAGGAAATTGACAAGACTGCATGGAAGCCTTTAAAAAGATGGCACAGTGTAGTCACAGCTAAGAAAGGATATTAAAGTGAAATGTGGGTATAAAATACACAGAAAAGCCAAATAAATGTCATCCCTCGCCCCCGTGTTCACCTCACCTTCCCCTCCTTGATCTTGCTCCCGATGATCTGCCTCCTCTGCTGGATAATTTCGATCAGGACATCACACTCCTCCAGGAGCTTGCCCTCCTGACGGGACGCGTTCACCTGAGAACCGATTCACACACAGAGCATTAAATAAAGGGAGAAACTGATGGATGCTGCGAACAGAGAGCGATATCTACATTTAGTGGCTATGCAACATGTCGGCCGAGGGACAGGATGTCATTTCCATCCGTCAGCCAGCATCTGAAGCAAGTACTTGAGGAAGACGAGCCATATTCAGCCATTTTGTCTCCCGCTGGCTGGAGGGATGAGTGACAAGTAAAGTAAGCAGAAAGAGAGCAGACATGACACTCAGAAATATGCAGAAGAACCAGACACCAGTGTGGGACTAAAATAGAATGTAATAGCTTGCATTTTATTTTTAAATTACCTTTTGTGAGGCTCTAGAGCTGTCAGTACTGTATCTCAGTTTTAGTGTTAGCCACTCGTCCACCATTAGATAGAAAGGCATTCGATACTTTATTGCTTATAATTGTACCATCATCGATTTCCAATGACATTGGATAATTTTTGCTTGACTGACCATCTTATTAGGGCTTGGTTTTTTGGGGAAAAAGGGAGTGATTTAGGGAAAGAAGTAGCTTTTTTTTCCATGGTAGACATTTTGGATTTTGTAATGAAACATTTATCATTGTTCACATTATCCGATAAAAACAAGATTAAAATTAAATCTTTGTTATAAATTCACGTCTTAGGGTTGTAAAAACATTCAAATGTAGAAACTGACTTTATAGCTAAAGTCTATTGCTGTCGTAACTTTATATTAAAGGATATTAAGTGTGGTGGCAGTGGGTTCAAACCCAACAATGATGGCAATGAAACTTAATGGAAAAGGTTTAATTTAGTTGGAAGGTGTTTGGGAAAGTGCCGTGCTGATTTTATCCAGGGTTGTTTTGCCATGAGGGTCTTCAGAGGAAAACCAGCATGCCGCTGTATTCTGCGGGGTGTTTGATTCACTTGGAGCCTTTACAGTGTGCTATAAAAGCTGTTCAAATGCAATTATAAGACTGCAGGTCCTACCATAATGTGCAGTTTCTCATTTTGGTCATTTCCTAGAGCTCCTTTCAGCACCTTGTAAAGTGTGTTCTTCTCGCTGTGGTAAAGCGATAGCATGGGGAGCAATGAAAGTGAAGTCTGCAGTGAGTGTTGCCAAGCCACCAAGTTATTCATACACTCTCTGTTACACACACGCATGTTGACAGGTGTTTTAATAATGACATCACGGGGAGTCGTTTGCCTTTCCTACACCGAGCCAAACAAGGGCTGGACAGGACTTCTTCAATATCCTCAGCGTGGCCTTTCAAAACGGCATTTATGTGCTTTTCTGGGCCAACAGAAACAATTTGCCACCTGGGTTACAAAGCTTTCAGTATGTGAAGACGTGCTAAGCCGTATAATGAAACCGCCACTGCATCTGCTTTTCAACACTGCTAATTGGAGCCTCCGATGTCATTGTGACTGCTCCTGGGAAGCTGGAGATGTTGAACGGCTTACTCTGTGAAAAAACATGTATATATGGTATGTCTTTGTGGCATGTTGTACACATTTAACATACTTTATACAAATCTTTATATATTGGGCTGCCAGGCTATGAAGCCTCTTTGAATATAGCTCCCAACTAAACTAGAAAGTATTCTTTGCTGATTCACTTTGCCTGACATTTTATTATTAAAAACGAAATATGAATAAACATGACGTCCTCCAATATTGCTCATCTGACTGGAACTACCGCCCACAAGGCTGCAAGGACAAACACACACACACACACACACACACACTTTGGTCACAAATCATTCCAGTAATAACTAATATTTTAACATTTAGACAAAGAGTGTCAAACATTATAATAGTCAATAATTGGTTGATGTAGTAGAATGATTAAGTTGCCAAACACACACACGCACAGTGTTTTACCAAAGTACATCATGTGCAAAGATGTGGGGCATCTAATGGCTGTGGGCAGAGCCCTCTGGAGCATGTGAACAGTATGACAGATTGCTCCCTGGTAGAGACATTACGTGATTCATTTAGTCACAGAAACTCACACACACACACACACACACACACACACACACACACACACATACATTCATAAGTGACTCAGTCCTCCAGGATATGCAAAGTTGTTGAAAGGCACCCAAACTGAGCTTTCCTCGAGGGAGGTAACTTAACTAGTCCAATATATTTAGTGACACGATGCGTGTTTTCTACAACATTAAGCCAGAGACCTCAGCTGTGTGACTTTGCTCCAGTGTAAGCATTCATTTCCCCTCACTTGGAGTCAGTTTATTTATTGCATTTGTATACAGACACTGACAACTGCTGCATTTGACCCATATTTGACCATTTGTGATTATATAATGGATTGGATTCAAACAAGATGGATAGGTTGTAACATGATTAACAGTGTGAATTGAAACAACATTGGTTAGGTTCAGGCAAAAAAACGACTTGGTTACAAAAAATCATGTTCTCAAGTAATATGAGTTTAAAAAAAGTTGAAATAAGCTGACATGTTCTTCGTTTTACACAGGCACCAACAAAGGCCTTCTGGGTAAATAGTCCTGTCTGTGTTGGTAGTTTGTTGCTCATTTCACTGATACACCATCTAAATGTCAGTTTATATAGTAGCATAGTGCGATTGATCCACATGTTGCCAGCAATACAGAAAGGCCAGGATTTAAAATGGTGTGGTGCGGAAGAATTCAATTGTGGCTATAGTTAAACCTCTGCAACGTTTCTCAATTATAGTTTTCCTTTCTAAGTTTGACTGAACAATGTGCTTTTTCATTTAACAACAAATGGAGTCTCATAAATGTCAGAAAGTATCAGGAGCAAACTCCAGAGAAGCTTTGGGGAAGATGTGAAATATTCAGCAAGCTGTCAGTGCGATGCTTTTACTGTGGGAAACCTCTTTTAATCCCAGTCACATCCACGCATGTCATGGAGAGCTGCAGGTTTCTATGCATTTTTACGAGTTTATTTTTTCATGATCACCACCAAGTGCCATCCTCTACTCGTGCAATAGGTCTTTTCTCACCCACACAGTACACAAGCTACGGTGTGTGTAACGCTGTGACCATAATGCACTGGGGGTAAAATGGGTCAAGTTCTTTGCTCTCTCTTGATTAAAAGCATTATTTATACATTTCTAGGATTTTTAAAGTGGAGTGTTTCCTTTTTGTGAGAATTGAGGGTGTTTTTTTGTATTTCAAATGACTGCACTATAAACATTTAAGCAGGATGGTGACACCGAAAGATACAAAATAAATTGCACTTAAGGAAAACGTTTTTAAATCTGCTTAATAAATCACAATCCCCTCTGCTTGCAGTTTCTATATGGCCTGCCATGCAGAGAGGCTGCCCTCTATTTCTAAGCCAAGATGTCAGTGCGTTTTAACCCTGTGGCAGTGCTTTATTTAAAGCTCCTTAGTGGGCCAGCGTAACATGAACAGGCAGGCTTTACACTGAATTCCCTTCAGTAATGCTAAACCCACACATTTATCTTAATACAAATATTAGAAAAAACCAGTTGCTTTACAAATATTTTTTAAATTGAATAATTATTTCTTAGAGTTTTAATGTTGTGGCTAACCGTTGGCTAAATAATGTTAATTATGTCAAGTAAAATAGGAGATGTCAGTGTAGAATTAAAACTATTTATATGTTTTATATATAAAAGTATTTAAATAATAGTTCTGAAAGTAAACATACAACATGATGACAGTTTAGAGACGCTATATTAGAGTGGTGCACTTAGAGGACCGCTGTGACTCACCTCTACATGTTGACAAGTCTGGATCAGTTTCCCCATGATAGACTCCAGCTCATTGTTCCTCTTGATCAAATTGCTCAGGTTGGAGTCCAGGGCTTGCTGTGGCAAACACAAAACAACACAGAGTGAGAAAGTAAAAATAAATAGCTGGGAAATAAATGCAAAGGAACAGACGTGGAAGGCAGAGTCGTAAATCAAAGGAGGAGGAGAAATCAACAGATTCCCCCTCTATAGGTTTTTCTGCTTACACAAGAAGTTGTAAGAAAACCTCAGGTGATGCATCAACAAAGTTCAACAGCAAGTGGAAAACAACTAAACAAGATAAATTGAGCAAAGAATATTTGATTCCTCAGCAGCAAAGACTATCTTCCCTCAACTCTTCTTCCTAACAAACATCCCAAACTCACTTTCCTCCGTCTTTCTGACTAGGTGCGTTCAGTTTCCACGTACCTCTGAGCGTGCCGGGTACCCATCATCATCATCCCTGCACTGCCTCCTCATCCTGCCCCGTGCGAGCCTCCGACAGAGGAGCCTTCTCTAGGAGAGGATGTGACTGGGGCAGCCTCTCCACTGAGCACCAAGCCAAGAGCAAACCCGACCAAGCGGCAAATTAGGCATCAAAAGCCTTCCCTATGAGAGCACGAAGCAGCGCTCTCGGCTAACGAACCGGCAAACAGGTGACAGCACGTCAGCTCTGTCCCTTAACGCTCCTCCCTTCCTTTTTTATCTCCCCTCCCCTTTTTGCTGCTTTTCATCCGCTAAGGCACAAGCTGTCTCTATTGCTTTCCAGACCGTCGTGTTATTGCCAAACCGAGCATGCTTAAGCCGCTCTAATGCCACGTCTCCACCGTCCTGTGCAAAACTGTTTTTCTGAAGAATTTCAACTCACAACTGCTGAGATTTCCCTGCATGTTTTTGAAAATGCTGTAAAAAGGGAATTGAAGCAAGGCCCGACTGTCAAATACCAAAGATAGCTTGGATTAGAAAGCCCAGGTTCCTGAACACATCATGCATTTGGGTAAATCCTTCACTTTCTGCATCTACAGTAAAGTCAAACAAATATGGCAAGCAAACTAGCTAGATATGCTACATTCCCACTTTTTAAGCAGCAGTGTAAACGCAGCCAGGTTCAGATGTTACGTGGAGGATTAAAAAGGAGTTATCCCAGGGGGAATATTGAATGAACAACAACCACAGTAGACACAGAAAGAGACGGTGGGATTTGTGTGTGCTGCTGTGGCACTAGGGGGCTTGATGGGTGGCCTTAATACGCCGATGACACACAAAATCAAAAGCGGCATAAAGGTCTTCTCCGAGATGAATGTGGCGCTGTCATGGCCATTATCATCCATAGGGATAAAAATAAACCAGGCTTGTATGGGATGATGAGAAAAAGTATCACCACGATAAGTCAGCAGATGTTAAGCGGTGTATGCAGCAAAACGAATGCATGTAAGCGAAAAGGGCGAAACATATTTGTAGTCATGTATACGCTTATGGTCGTGCATCAAATGTTGAGAAAATAAACTCGACATCTCCACACGCACATCTAAAATAAGTAAAGTAACCCTGTGACATAAGGGAAGTAGCAGGGATTTAAAAAATGAAACCTGCTGTCAGTCTCATCTGTGTGTTTGTGGATTGTATGCACAGTTACAATTGGTCATGAAGGGGTTAACCCACATATTCAGCATCTATGTTGACTAGTATTAATCTCTGCCATCCAGCCGCTCACCTGGCTATCACACTGCTTGTTTATCCTGAGTATATCTCTCCATCTATCTGCTATCCTGCTTCTCCGTCGCCAGTGCAAGCCAGATGTGTACCCAAAAGTCGTTTAATCTCTGCTCTGAACCAACTACGCTAAACCATGTCGACTTGATGAGTTTTTAGATACACAGTAAACCAATAGATTTGGATTAAAAGTGTTGAGCTGCACGCCTGTAAAAATCATTTCACATCCCTAAACTAGAGGCGCGATTCAAGTACATATAGTCAAAGGAACAGTATGGTAAATAAAAAGGGGATCTTTAGGGAGAAATGGAATATTATGTTCAGCATTATGTTTTCAAAATCACCTGAAACTAAGAATATGTATCCTTTTGTGTAAGCCACCTTAAGTTTTCCGTTTACACTTGGAAAGGGGGTGTGATCCACAACCTCTAGATTCCCCTAAATGCTACAAACTAGTCCTTTAAGTATACTTTTGGAGTGAGCACTTCCATTGTATACTAGTTCCCTTGTATACTCTACTCCTGAGGGAAAAAAGCAGCTATAAATCTTGTTTTTGGTGACCTCCAGTGGTTACTGGAGTAGTCAGCAGTTAAGGGTGTGTCTGTAAACTGTGACATCACTATTTGGTGCTACCTTTTAATGAAATGTATACATTGCAAGATACATAGACATATAACCTGCCATGTCTTTAAAAGAAAGGATTGTTGACAGGTCTCTGATCTTCAGACGTCTTCCTGTGACAGAGGTAGAGTGAGTTTTGTGTGCATCATGCTGTGCTGCAGCGCTCAGATCTCTCACAGAATCCACCCTTTGAAACCGAGGCACACTTTGCATGTGTGTCATCCTGAACGCCTCCCTACTGGCTTAAAAATAGTGTTTGTGGCTCTTGATATTTTTATACTTTTGTAAATAACTATAATACTAAGTTTATAGGTTGTTCTCTATTTGATGTTGGGCGACGGTGTGTTTGCTCGACACACTCTTTCCTACAAGTGAACGCATGTGTAAATTGAAACAATATGTTTGTTTGTATCAGTCTGTGGGAAAGAGAGATGACTGCTAGAAAGAAAGTAGCCCTGACTTGGAAGCAAAGCACAACACAGAAACAAGGAAAGAACATTATGCTGGGGGAAACTGAAAGGACACAGAGGTGTTTGTGATTGTGTTTGACTGAGAGTCAAGAAGACCCCCAGCAAAGGGAACAATCTTTGCGGAAAGGAGACAGTGGGTGCTGCACTGTATATCTTCAAGTGATGGCTATAGAGAGAGAACCAGGGCTTTATTTGAGATGTTTACAAACTGGTGGATCTCTAACAAAACTGGGGCAAAGGACATGATAGACATTTTTTATTCAAATTCACTAGTCTGGACTTTGCAGAATCCAGCCCCAACATTATAATCCTTAAACCGGCTGTGATGTATATGTATTACGATGATTTAAATGATTTCTCACATTTATCCCTTTGGGATTGAAGCCTTTGCAGAACATGCACCAAATATGTATATATAATATGTACCTATATGACACACTACAGGAAAGAGAAAACCCAAAAAGCGTAATAGGGCCTCTTTAAAGGGACCTTGGTTATTATAAGGGATTTGTGGCAATACTTAAAGATGTTTTGCCCTTTTGGCTTTAGCACTTTTTTGGCTGCTTTTTAAGGAATTTCTAAGGATGTCAAAAATGTCAACATAATATATACAATATGAGGAACATAAGTAAGGGAATGTGTAGCCACGATAGAACAGATGAATGAGACAGCTGGAGGACATTAAGGTTATATTGTGCTTATCCACAAAGCTTTGAAATGTTATGTGTCTGTTCATGTTTTATTGTGCATGTTGCCACTTGACAACCTAACGTTTGTTGTTCCAACACTGAAGGGCGGCTGCAATTGAATACTACATAAACACAACAAACCTATGATTTGAAACTAAAGCTGACAACACACACAAACACACAACTGGGCTCATATTTTTTACCTCAAGGTTCTTTCTCCTCACACCCAGAGCCAAGGACTTTAAAAGCTATTTCCAGACGCCTTCTCCGTCAATTTCCTGTGACGGGGGTAATGTTATCTCTGAAAAAGGATGGGTGTTCCCACAATAACCTCCACGGCTCTTATCACACACCACAGCACTGCCACTGAAAAAGAAACTATTCCAATCATCTTCTTTCCCCCCCTGTGCTGAGAGGGGATATCTCAAATTCTAGAAGATCAGTACAAAGAGCGATGTGTATGAAATGGTCTGGAAAATATGACCAAAACAGTTTGGACTTATCAGACTCCAAAATGAGAGAAAAGCACCATATCTCAGGGAAAGGGCTGTCTGAGACATCTTAAGTATTTCAAGTTTGAACCATTTGGGTTACCTGACAAGAGTGTTTCGTGCCTGTTAGCACTTTCTCTCTTAAGAAGTTCCCCCAAAGTTTTCTGTACTTATGAATTAAAAATCAAATGTGTTGTTCAGCATGAATATTGCAGGGCTGTTGGGTTGTTTTCAGAGCTAATTAGCGTACATCGAGACCTCCATTTATTTCCTACCCTGTTTCTGCTCAGTCAAAACCCCGACCATTTGCAACAAAACTCTTAAAAGCGTCGACCTAACTCAGCACATTATAATGTATTATACATTTTACAACTGACATGTTTTGCTGAAAGTTTCAAACGATTACATTAAGATTACATGTGTTATATAACCATAATTGAAGATGAGTGTTTCTGTCAGGATTTGTTTGCATGTTTTTGACACGTATGGAGTAAATAGCCTAGCTGTGATTAAGTAAACTAAGATTGAACTGACATACAGAACTTAACTCTCTACGTTAAAACATAATTCAGCCCAAGCCTGAGATATATTTTATTCAAGATGCGGCAAAATAATAAATAAGCATATTGCGTGTCTTCCCTTAAATGCTGGGCCTAGATTCTTAATCTAACAGGGTCTTAACCCGTAGTGTGTATCAAACTCACGTTAGGTGCCAGATGGCTGTCGTGAGATTTTTAAGGGGCTGACAGTTGGTCAAATCCCCCCAAACTAATGCGAGGAAGATTTGTTTTCTGTGTGAGAAAGAAGATGCTGCCCGTGTTTATACAACTATTGTAAGGGTAGAAGGTAGTCTCGAGTGTGAGTGTGTGTGTGCCTGGGTGTGTGTTTGTGTGTGACAGAGGGCAGGCTCAGTTAAGTTAATGAAGCAGTCATACGTGTATCGTTTCTCCATCTGCACGCAATGTCCTCATTACGACTTTATATATAATCCTCAACATAATTCAATCATAAATAAAGTAAAAGATAATTTCACTGAACCAGCAAGATTTGATGTTAAAATAGTAAGTTCCCAATAGAGTGCACGTTAATGAACATTTAAAAAAATGGTTAAAATGGACTGTACTTATATAGCGCTTTATCCAGTCTTTACGACCCCTCAAAGCGCTTTACATACTACATGTCATTCACCCATTCACACCCATTCATACAGAGCAGTACCACTTGCTCTAGGACCTAACATTCACACACACTCACACTCACACACCGTTGGCCATCGGGAGCAACTCAGGGTTAAGTATCTTGCCCAAGGATACATCGACATGTTGGCTGCACGGGCTGGGATCGAACCCACAACCTTCTGGTTGAAAGACGACCGCACTCCCTCGCAGCCACAGTCGCCCTTTTTTTTGGTTGCCAAAACTGTGGTGATAGTTTGGTTAGGTGTATTCACAAACATAACTTGGTTTAGTCTTGGAAATATCCTGGTTGACTTGTTGGCTGTCTCTGAAGTAATTGCATAGTTTTGGATTTTGGAAGTTAATAAACCGTTTTTTCTTTCTCTGCAGTTGATATGGACATTCTACTAAAGCTGTTAACCCCAAATGCGTATACGTTCAGCATCTCAAACTGTAAAAGACACACAGTTTGAATGTCCTCAGGCAGTTCATTTAAATTAACATGTATAGTGTGAGTCACAAGTATATGGTGTCATGCAACCTTTAATAATGGGATTAATTATACTTAGTGTATTTCTTCAGGGGTTGGAAACATGTATTGAACTGCACGTAATAGTACACAGCAGGGATTCAGAGTACGTACATAATGCATCTATGAGGCATCATGGTTGTTGAGTCTCGTTTGCGTGCACAGGCCATATGTTGCTACCTGTGAGCATGTCAGAGCGACGAGAAATCTGCTATTGCGGTGCTTTTTAAATGACAGCAGATAAGTAGCCTGTATGATAACGGCTGGGTGTGCTGACCTGTGCTATGTTACGTTCTCTCTCTGGATGAATGGAGGGAGCAGGATAATTAGATGATGCACTGACCTGTAGCCTCCCCGCTAAGTATTCTTCTTTTGCTGATACACTCAAGATGAGGAGGCACAGACCTTGTCAGCCATGATGACAGGACATAAAGCCCGTCATGTGGAGCAGAAACACTTGGAAACCAGCAGCGGACGTATAATAACAGATCAATGAGTGGGATGTTTTTTTGCTGATTTTCTTTTTCTTGAGAAACAAGAAAAGTGCTGACACTAAAAACGTTTCAAGTGTTGCTTTTGGCTATTTTTTGGTTTTCTCTTTTACTAATTTAACAAAGCTACATGTACACATGTCTCACTAATACCTTTTATTCTACACAACTAAGATTTTGTTGCTGTGTTTCTTCCATTATACCACCAAAGTTGTGCCTCCGCTCTGAGGAAGTATTACAAACAACCCACTTAAGATAAAATGGACTTTTATTAATCCCTCGTGGGGAAATTGTTTTTCTGCATTTGACCCATCCTAGTGTTGGGAGCAGTGTGCTGCCATTTTGAACGGCGCCCGGGGAGCAGTGTGGGGAACGGTGTCTTGCTCAGGGACACCTCGGTAGCACTTGGTCTTGCCGGGACTTGAACTGGTGACCTTCCAGTTGCCAAGTCCCTATCGACTTTGCCACCACCACTTGAACATGTGTTTCAAACCTCTGGTAAAAGAGAAACCTGTTTCTCATAGAAGTCAAACCACAGCTTTGCATTTTAAGCTTAGCAAGGCTGAACAAACATTTTCAGAGTCAGCGTGCAAGAGGGTACTGATGGAAATGTTCCCTGGGTAAATTACGCTTTGGAAACGCTTTTGTTCGCATTGTTCTGCGAGAAAGTCTGTGATATATGGGATTATCAGAATTTGACCTTCATTGGCTGCATCTGCTGTATTATAGGAGTTACATGACTAACCCCGAAGTGTATGCAATTCTAAAATAGTCGCGTATCCCTTTAAGAAATGTTCTTTATTTGTTATGATTATGGGATTATTTTAGAAAAAGCATCCGGTGGACATTCAGAGTAACACATCCTTCTTCATGAGCTCTGATGTAACACACAGATATATACACACACACACACACACACACACACACACACACACACACACACACACACACACACACACTGCCTCTCTGGCCATCACCAGCACACTCTAATAGCCATGCACAATTAAGCACACCTACACCCTGCAGGCAATTGGCACTCATTAACCTGCAGCCTCATTGAAGACACCATGCCTCGTCACTAATGACACTCCACATATTCACTGTGTGTGCATGCCTCTGGATACCCTCCTGGCACACTGGCAGGATATAGTGATTATGCTAATTGCTTAATTATTCAGCAGATATATTAAGTCAGCATGAGATGATAAAATCTCACTTGATAATCGAGTTAGATAGCTGGGTAAGGATAATAGGATATTGCAAACTGCAGAGCAGCATAAAATTACAGCTTAAAATAAAACATTTTTGTTAATGGAGTGTAAACTGTCCAAAAATGTTAATATAAAAACTTTGATGTATCTGCCGTTAAAGGCTCCAGGTTAATTAGAGTTCAGGTTTTAGAGAACTTTGATAAATCTTTTAAAGCCAAATCATCCCAAAAAGGAACAAATGAAAAAGAACTTGGAACAAAAGAAAAGTCAACCAAGGTCTGTGCTTACCTTGAGTTTTTCATAGCGGTCGCTCAGCGCTGCCACCTGGTGGTCTCGGTGCCTTCCCACCAGTTTGCACAGCGAGCAGATCAGCTGATCGTCCGTGACACAGTACATGTTCACCTTCTCCTCCTCGTGCTCCAGGCACTGCAGCCCCCTGAGGTGGGAGTCTGGCATGGGCTCGATGAGCCGGTGGGCGGTGAACGGCTTCTTGTTCGGGTGCGTTGCTCGGAGGCACTCCTCGCAGTACGACACCTCGCACGTCACACACGTTTTCACGGCATCTTGTGGCGGGTCCTGCTCACAGAACTGGCACTGGATGGGCTCAGGAGGCGTGCCCGGGCTGGACATGGCGGCACTGAACGGGACCAACGCCAACCGGTCTCTCCCTTCCTCTCCGGGAGAGTTGGGCCCGCTGTGGGGCGCAGGCAACGCCAGCGGAAGAGGGATCCCAGCCGAGGATGAGGCCCTCTGTACTCTATCAATAATGTTCTGCAAGGTCACGTTTCTCTTTAGTCCTTCTAGTCCACGTTCAGGACTCAAGGAGATGACATATCTACAGGTGGGGCACTGGAAGGCGCCGATGCTCAGAACTGATTCGTTGGTGGTACAGTGAGAGATGAGGATGCGATGGGCGCAGCCGAAACACAGGCTGTGAGCGCAGGGCAGCAGCAGTGGGTCTTCAAAGAGCTCCAGGCAGATTGGGCAAGTCAGCTCTGACTCCAGTGTGTCCATCCTGCTCAGAGGAGGCCAGGCGGGACCAGGCGCAGCGTCAGCGAAATCCAGAAGAGCCGCTCAGCTGTCTGCAGGCCGGAGACAGAGAGATGGTGGAAGGAGAGAAAGGGGAAAGAAAGCAGAGGGATTTGTGATTAAATGGTGTGAAACTGCTTTATAACTCAATGGAGCAGATCACTGAGCAGACTTAAAGAATGGAAGTGTTAACTGCTGGATTATCTAAGTCTGTGTGAAAACGGACCATGAAAGCAATTGATATAAAATACTAGACAAATAGAATAGCTTCAAAAAATGTGACATCTTCAAATCAACGGCAATGATGCAATCATTAGGTAAAGACATGCTGTGTGTTGACCAACGTTTGCAGATGTGACCGGTATTGTTTCTGGCTTTGCAGTTGCAACACTTTAGTTCAGATTGAGCTTGGTTTAACAAGACTGTTTTTCACAGCAGACCCTTAAATGCACCACTAAGGAAGGGTTTTCAAAAAGTGCACGCATTCCAAAAGCTCCTGGACAGACACCATGTTGTTTAATAGTGTATCTCCATGTTTAAATTAGCAGTTAATGCGTAGTCATGTGTTCTCTGCAGTAAAGGTAATGCCCTCTGTGAAGCTCCGTGGTTTGATTAGAAAGTTAAACTGTGCATGTCAGTAATTGAGAATGGAACCATAGGGAGGGGTATAATGTTGATCCTTTTAATTTTAAGTTTCAGCACTTAGCGCTGTGGCAGTAGGGTGTAGTTCTGAATTTGGGTGCAGCAGTGGCAGCTGCAGGCACAGCTGTAGTCAATTGGTAATTAGTGCAAATGTCCATTTATTCCCCCGCAGAGGAACTCGGCCTCCATTTCTGTTTGACCCTGGTGCTGAAAGTCACCCATGTTCAATATGTGGGATACGTTTGTCTGTGCACGTCTGCATTTTCATTTGAAGTTTGGTTATGCCTCAGAGGGAAAAGCCTACATTCAAAGCATATGAATGCAATCAACATATAGTTATTATCGTGTAAGAAAAGTCACAAAACAAACTTTTTAAGATTAGATGAAACCTAAACAAACCCTTCAAGGGAATTAGATTCAAAGAGATTAATTTCTACAGAAGCAAAGAAAGCGATATATAGATAAGACTAGCCCAAATGCAAACTATTGAAGATGAAATAACACAATTGAACTTGTGCTGTTTGAATGCATAAGAGAAAAAGCCTCAAACATAGTGAAGATGTGTTTTTCCCAAGTGGAAAATGCAAATTGAAGCATAGCTCAAACTCATATTTAATATAATTCTAGTCTAAAAATGATAATAATCACTGTAATTACTGTTCTGAATCGAATGCATGCGTCACTGAGGCACGGCCAGTCTACCGTATTTGTTGTTTCAGTAGATGTCGGATCGCCACACTCACATTATCCCTACCCCCCATATCACACTATCTTTACGCATGGTTTCCTTTCATCCTCTGTGCCTCGCCCGTCATATCTGAGGTTAGATAACATTAATTTGCAGATGAGGATCAGTAAACGGATTGAAGGAAAAAGAACATTCTTAGGTTTATCATCAAAACTAAAATTGTGCGAGTCAAGAAACTCTGCTGTCCAAGATAGTCCGTATGTTAACATATAGCAGATAGCGTTTAGAGGGAGAAGAGGGCAGATATTGAGTAGGAGAGATGGAAGAGATGCAGCAATCACACGCTCCAAACAAAATGAAATGTGTTTGGAGGGCCTGAAAACACAGCAAATCCTCAGACACTCACATCTACACGTGTCCATACGCATCGATACACACTTAGATTCCTTCAAACACACGGCAGGAGACACAGAAGAGCCTCCCTCAGGTGTTTGTGTTGCCAGAGATATTATATCAGTCCAGTAAAACTCAGAACTCATGATGTTTAAGCCTTTTTGCTCAATTTACCACAACATTAATACATGAAAATCATCATGCTCTTGAATCAAGCTTTGTTTGCATGCATGTTTACAAGTGTGCAGTCTTCTGTCTGGTATTTTCTTCTGGGGCAATACAGCACATATTGGTGTGTCCTTAATATTGTATTATTGAAAGGTTTGGCATATTAACATGTAGGAGGCCAGGTCCAGGAATAAAAAGCACCAGCACTGGATCATTAAGTCTCACTGCTGGCGACTGTTGAATATGAGCAATAACCTAAAGTCAATGCTTGAACACCTGGATTGAATTATAACATGTTTAATATGGCCATCATCTTACATAACATGCTAACACCGTTTAAAAATCCTGCAGCACAGTTCCCTAATTGTATACAGTATCCAGTTATAATATGTTGAAAACCATGCCTCAATCAAAATCTATAACAAACAGTAATGTATGATGTGTGTAATGTGCATTAAGTTAATTTAGGGTATACATCGAGGTGATGTGTGTTTGCTGCAGTCGATCCCTGTTCACAAATGTCAGCAAGGAAACATACAGCATTCTAAAGAAGCAGAGAGAGGAAGTGAGTTGACAAAGAAGGTGAAGTTCGACACTGATGGAGCTCTGACAGCTGACACCTTGACAGCTGGGGACATATGTGGGCGCCAAAGCATAAAGGGAATAAATCCATCTCATTCTGACAAAAAACAAAACATATAATCCTACATTTGACATGCAGAGTTAGATGGATCCAAACTGGCTGGGTGAAATGCCTCTTAGCACACCATAGGTGACACTGTTGAACCGTGCATCGAGGTGACGAGGCACACAACACACGGAGGAAGAGGAGCAGAGAGAGGAACAGGAAGTCAGACTGGAGGAGGAAACAAATCCAAGTTGTTTATTTTCCCACCATCCCCTTTCGCCTCATGACTGTCAGAGCTGCCACTGTGTAGAAAGACTCGTCTAAAGTGCTGGCAACACTAACGTCAGTACCCATTCTCTTCAGTGGGGGGCAATACAAAACAGAGTGAGCATCAGTGGGAGCATCATCCGGCTATTTCCCTTCAGCGTCTGCATGTGAGCAATAAACAAGGCGTCTTACCCATCAGAAAAAGACTGTTTATATGCTTGTGCATTATGTGAATGGGCCATAATAATGTAAGAAAATACACAAACATTATATGTGTTTTTTGTAGTTTTTCTTCTGCCAAGTATGGTAACAAGTGTTGCTTTGCATTAAAGTCACTTAAAAACATATTTAATATTCAAAATTGGCACCACACATCATGTATCGGTATGTATCCTATTTGAAGCCTAATTGCTGATATGTCAGCTCTCCAACTGTCATGGGGACAGCTTATGGTTGCATATTTTTTCATTATGAGTTCCTTATATAAGATAAGATAAGATGGACTTTTATTAATCCCTCGTGGGGAAATTGTTTCTCTGCATTTGACCCATCCTAGTGTTAGGAGCAGTGTGCTGCCATTTTGAACGGCGCCCGGGGAGCAGTGTGGGGAACGGTGCCTTGCTCAGGGACACCTCGGTTGCACTTGGTCTTGCCGGGACTTGAACTGGTGACCTTCCAGTTGCCAAGCCAAGTCCCTATCGACTTCGCCACCACCGCCCCCATTATAATGATTTCTGTTACTTTGAATGTCCTTTGTAGCCTCGTCTGGATGCATAGAGCCTTTCCCTGCTCTTTAGTTGATGTTGGGAATTGGGAACCCGAGCAAATGTTCACCAGCACGGTACTACATTTTCCAATCATTGATGAGTTATCCTAAAGCCTTTTAGTAAGCAACATTTAAATGTATTTTCTTTTTGCCCGGGGCATGCAGCTTCACCTTTAATATTTTAGCACAAGTTGATGTACGTTGCCATCAGCTAGAGTAAGCTGAAGACAAATTAACTGGAGTCTGTCGGGGAATGTATAGGTCAAGTTGACGGACGGTGTTTGGTAAAAACTGAAACCAAGTGCCTGAAATGACATCTAAAAAATAAGGCTGTATCAAATTGCAGTTAAATGTGCACATCTTATAGTTCAATGGGAAGATATACCAGTAAAATAAAATGTTTGGCCCTATTACAGTACTTTTACTTGACATACTGTACTGTTAACCTCTGCACACAGCTGCAGTTGAAGTTCACGTCCTTACCGTCTACAGATAACAGAATGATATCTGACAGATATGATATGCTTTGGGGTGTGTCAGACGATCTGTGGTAGAGATGCCCTTCCTTCAAAAAGAATCAGATTCCTGCATCATCTTCTTCTCCTTCTATTCCTGACACTTCTTTGTATTGCTCTGCCTCTCTCCGGTTACAGAGCCGTGTAACCAAGGTCCAAAATGTTACCTTTCTATTTTGAGAGGAACAAATGTCATTTCTCTGATGCTACTGGTAAATGTGTACTGTTCTTATTTTTGAAATAAAACCTTGTATATGGTCTCTCATCCGTAAATGTCAGCGAATAACCTTTTGCTTTAGAAATGTTTTCAGTGTGAAAGAGAAAGCTCACTTTTGATATTTTGAAGAGACCCTAAGAAAACAAGAAAACACTTAACCATTTCAGCACTCCGATATGAAAGGGGCCCTTAACTGCCCTGTAGTGTGTTATACAGGTTTTAGTGCATGTAAATGGTCTGCAAAGGATACAATCGCTTTGTTTACTTCTCTACACATCTAAGCGGTTGACCAATCACAACAGAGCAGCCAGCTAACCAATCAGAGCAGACTGGGCTTTGGTTTCAGACAGAGGGGTGGTCACAGTAGAGACACTACATACAGATATGATGAACCTGGAAATGAGCATAATAGGGCCCCTTTAAAACTCTTTCAACCTGTTTGTATTTGGCTAGAATTCGTCTGCGCTCTTCTACTAAATATTTGATTGACTTTGGGTCAAGGGAGGTTGTGGCTCTCCCTTCCACTCGCAGTTTAAGCTGTTCAAATTTTTATAGGAGCTCTTTCTATCCATCTTCTAAAAACTGATTCTACACGAGCACAATGCGGGCAAAAAACAGGGGCTGTGTTTCTGAAATGGGAAAATGATGTGAGTGGTTTCTGTGGTTCTCCATAATATATGGTGCAGATCAAAATGTACTCCTAATGATTGTAGGACGCTTTATTCGTCTGACTTTATGATATTTTGTCCTCTTTAAACTCTGCTTCAGG